CCGACTGAAGATTACTGACCCATAGAAATGATCGGTCAGGACCACCCACTTAAAAAGCAAGTTAATTTAAGGGTTTTAAAGCTATAGAAAATTTTAAACTCAACGACTGAAGTATAGTAAGGATAAAACTATACCATAAAGACTAAAATAAAAATGTACTCTGGTTCTGGACTGCATGCAGCCATATAGAAGGAAGACACCATAGGAGGCCAGGAGTGACAGGCACTGGGCGATATGCAGATAGACAGGATAGTTTTTAAGATACACAGGCCAACATGTCACGATGCTTTATTTTCAAAGATTCAGTAAAACTCATCCGTAACAATGACGTCAAGCTCTGATTGACAACTGTTTTGATTAATGAACCTAGGAATTATATTTTTTTAAAAAGCTGGTTTCAAATTGAATCAACAAGTTTTTTTTTGGTTTTTGTTTTTTAAGATTTTATTTATTTTTTTAAAGCAGGGAAGCCATTTTTTTTTTTTTAGATTTTTTTTTTTAATTTTTATTTATTTATACAAGCACTGGGTAACAGTCAGAAGCGCGGGAGGGTGAGAGAATTCACCAGAGCCAGAGCGGGGAGCAGAGCAGGCAGAAGGACCGAAGTACACTGCTGAGGGGAGCAGCGGGCGGCAGGAGAGGTCTGCGCGCCATGTGGGACCCTCCTTCGGTGGCCTGGGAGCGCGGGCAGCTTCGCAATCCAGCGCTCAACCGCTGCGCCACCGGGGAGGCCCAAGTTCTTGTCCATTTAAGTGAAAAGTGTCAGCTGAATGTGGTGACCACCACTCTACCAAAACCTGCTAAACTAAGAGAAAATGACTTGGATTGATTGAGACTAATTCTAATGTGTCAAATCAAGTTTAAACTAGATCAAGCCACTTTTAATGACCACTTGCAACCACAGTAGTTAAGTCTGGGTTCTAGAAATCAGGTAAAAATCCCACCTGCCACCTGTTAGCCCTTGGGTAAGTTAATTTATCCTTTCAGAATGTTTCTTCATCTATAAAATGAGGGTAATAGTACTTCTTTCATAGGATTGTTGTAAAAATTAAGCATCATAATATATGTAAAGCCTAAGAACAGTAACTGGCACAGAACATGTGCCCAATAAACACTATTATTTCATATTCATTTGAAGGGATCAAATGAGGCTGTGCCTGACTCAAACTGGCTAGACCAGGCCTAGAAAGAGTTGACTGACAGTTGATAATGAGCTCCTTTCTCTAGTCCCGGTTTCTTCCCTAGTTAAGACTCGTCTCCTGCCCACTCCTGAATTCCTCCAGGAATTCTTAACATCGCCGTCCCGCACTGACATCTCTGGATCTGAAGCCAACCGCCCTGAATGCAAATGTCGAGTCCTGTTTCCCACCAGCCGGAAGTTCCACAAGGAATTCGTGGTTCTGTTCCATTTCTTCAGTGTCCTCCTCCACCCTTCCCCTCCTGGCCGAGCATGGAGACCCTGCACTCAGCAACTGTGGTATTTAAAAAGGGTGGGGTTTCAGCAGGGTCACCATCTTTACTCGCGTGGGTCTCCAATGAGGAAGAGTGAGGACAGATGACATCCATGCTTATGCATGGAGGTGGACTGTTTTCCAACAACGTTTAGGTTTTTATCATCAGGAAGTCATTGGAGACACCCCTTTGCACCTCAGATCTTGCTATTTTAGACTCTAAAAGCCAACTCCTTGAGCCCAAGGAAGATGCCCTTTCTTTTCTGGAACAGTTTCACCCTCCTACCTTATCCACCATTGTACCTGATCCACCATAAGGCTCAAATGGCAACATCTTTTTTTAATACTTATGTTGAAACAGGTATTTGACTTTTTTTTTTTAAGATTAATTTTATTTATTTATTTATACAAGCACTGGGTACAGTCAGAAGCGCGGGAGGGTGAGAGAATTCACCAGAGCCAGAGCGGGAAGCAGAGCAGGCAGAAGGACCGAAGTACACTGCTGAGGGGAGCAGCGGGCAGCAGGAGAGGTCTGCGCGCCATGCGGGACCCTCCTCCGGTGGCCGGGGAGCAGCCGGGGATCGAACCGGCGCTGCAGAGGCTGCGGGCAGCTTCGCAACCCAGCGCTCAACTGCTGCGCCACCGGGGAGGCCCAGGTATTTGACTTTTAAAGCCGGTAAGGTAGGATGTATGTTTTCCTCCTCGACAGAGGGTGACTCTGATGTTGAAGAGGTTAAGGAACCCCCATGTTCACCTGGCAAGTGGTTGGGGAGTAATTTGCACCCAGCTCCTCCCCCAAATCCTACACTCTTTCCTCTTTGGAGTTCATCCTTCTCTCTTCCTCCTCCTTCCAGGAGTTTGACTGCACCAAGTTACCACGACGATCTCCCATTTATTCCACACAGAGGCTGCTTAGGGGACGCAGGAGCTTCCATCCTGGTCCTGCCCATGTCTGTGTGTACCCCAACTTCATCTCTTGGTGTCCGAAGAGAAATGGTGCTTGCAGTTTACAGAAAAAAAAGTGGTGATAGCTTCCAGATGAGCTTGTTATTCTAAATTTAACATTCCTTTGGGTACTTAGAATTTCCACTTTCTCTCTCCCACCCCTTTGCATTTATGTAATTAGAAAGCATGCAACAGGAAACCGTGTGTGTCTCAGCACCACTCAGGATGAAGGCTGTTCCAGCCCCACTGAGGACATCCTTGTGGAAATACTTTGCCGAGTTTATTTGGACAGGTTCAAAAATAGTCCTTCAACAACACAATCAGATTGAACCACGACAAGTAAAATGTAATTATGGTCTGGTTACATTAAAAAAAAAAATGTAAACAGTGAGGTTTGGGAAAACTACAGGCAAAACATCATAGATAGCTTCTTCATTCCCAGCCTCTCATGGCCTACGAGCAGGATTTCAAGGTTGTGTCCAGACCTTTTGGGAAAGATGAGAGAATGACATCCGCGTAGCAGAGCACAACAGCGTGCGTCCTGAGGCTCGTGTCCCGCACAAAGGCAAACTTCCCCGTTGGCAAATGCAGCCTGATAAAGGCCCAAGTGGGTACATGGAATGCCAAAGTCATTCACCTAAATGAGTTCAAAATACATATTGTTCCGGGCCAAATTATACAGTGTCAAGCTCAGACTGTATGCATTTATGTATTTGGCAGAGCAGGCCACTCTTGGGGCGCCACAGCTTTATCCTAGTGTCCTATGCCCAGTGGGTTCCCATCACTCTTTCCCCAAACCCATGATCTTCCTTGTGTTTGGTTCCAGAAGGGCAGACAAGAAGCAAAGTTTCATGACTCCACGAGGGAATGGGGCCCCAGAGGATTTGAATTTCTAATGAAACTTAAAGTAGAACAGAATGTATGCCTTTGCCAACAAGCTGGAACTCTCTGGAGGCCGATTTGAAATGGGGGCAGGGAGTGGGGACAAGATTGAGCATTGTGCTTCAGGCCAGTCCGTGTGCAGAGCTCAAGGCAGGAATACCAAGTACTTTGGAATTAAAGCAAACAGCCAATGCTTCCTTTGGCTGGCCTTTGCCCAGAACTATTCCCTCACAGAGCTAACCAGCTTCTCAAAACACATTAAACGGTACTTCCAAGGTGCCGGGCAAAGGGATCCATCCATCCAAATAAATGCCTAAAACCTAGTAACAAACGAGACCAAACAGCTTGACTTGACTCCAGCGCCCACCGCTGCTCCCGCGCAGCCCCATCTAGAGAATTAGTGGGCATGCTGGGGTTCTCGTTGTCTTTTTTGGAAGGCGACCTATTATTTTTTTCCCCTGCTGAAATAAGATGGAAAAATTGAAGGGAAATATAAACTTTTAAAGTAAACATGGAGAACACAAGTGTAAGGGATGCAACAGGTTGCAAGGTTTTTCTGCAATTACATCGGTTGTCTTGATGGTGGAGTAAGAGGGGCAGAGAAAGTGGCAGCGTGGCTGTGCGGGCCATGGCTGTGGCCTGCAGTCCTGGGCTCAGGCCATCACTGGCCTTTAGCTGCCCCAAAGAAGCAAAAAAGCTCAGAGCGCAGAGGAGTCTGGACAGCTGGCAGGGCAGAGTCACTACTGCCTGTTTGGTCGAGTTTAGCCCATCTTTCCAGAAAGGGAAGAGGGTCAAAGGATGAGGGAGGGGAAAATGAGGGAGTATTTGCTACCCTCAATCCACTCATGACAACACCTATAAGCACTAAGGTCTAACTGACATTTCAGAGCTGGTTTCAGACACTAGTTCCAGCCCGGTGCCCAGCCGCCTCCCTGCCCACCCTGGCCGTGCCCATTGCCTGTCATTTCTAACACACATGCCACGATTCTAAGCCTCTGCACGAGCTCCCTTCTTCTCACCCATGTCCATCTGGAAAGCCCGGGTCAACCTCACATCTCAGTCCACAATTCCCCTCCTCGGCCAGGCCACCCTGAGGCAACTTAGCTGGTCTCACTGTGTTGTCTCTCTACCCCTTCCTCATTCAAGGCCAAAGGGAGTTGGCATGATCGTCTTTCCATTAGAATCGAAGATCCTTGAAGGCAGAGATCTGGGCTGTGTTTTAATCTCTGCTGCCAAGAGCAGTGCTGAGAGGTCACGGCAGATGTGGAATCAACACTCACAGAACAGAGGAGCAGGATCCAGCTCTGCCCAACTGAATTTATTATTTTTTCTTTATTTATTAAACAAAAACATTCACCGTCATCCATTAGCTCCCCTCTGCCCTCGTCACTATAGAGATAAAAAAGATAGGAGAGACAGGGTCTGTCCATTCTCAGAAGGCATTACTGTTTTGTATGCAGACTCCGTGGTTCAAGTGAAACCCAAGGCATAAATTCATCAGACATCAGAAGGGACCCTTTTGTCCTCAAGCTTCAGGTGTTACATGAAGCTGCAGGAAACCTCACTGGAGAGGACATCAGCACGGTCAGCCCCCAGCTCTGCGTCCTGCAGGCCTACCGGGGAGAGCTACGCACAGCATGTCAAGGCTCCATAAGACATTCATCTTCATCAGACAAGAAAGGAGCCCGCCCACCCCCACCCCGGCCAACTTCCAACACAGGTGGAAGCAGTTCTGAAAACCTTAGGGGTTAGCTTTAGGGGAGAGAGGGGGGAACTGCGCAGAGCTGTGGTTTCAGGAAGGCTCTCAAGAGAGGTGGGGACCCCGCAGTGGCTGCTGCGGGCAGTTCAGTCTTCCTCATGCTCAGAGACCAAAGGCAAAGAAACGCAGGCAATGCACCGGGCGGCCTATTTCTTTTTAATTTATTTCTTCAAGACCTCCTCCTTGCAGTTTCCAGAGAGAAAATACAAAACAAGAAACAGACTTGGTTTCAAATACATAAACAGTGTGCTGGAGCTGAAAGCATTACTGATAACATTGTTACAGAAGAACGTCAGCTTACTCCAGGGCACTTCAGTATTCCTGAGGAATAAACATGATTTCTCCTTCCTCCCACTGGGATGTCTCAGGTGTCACTCACTGCTCCTGCTCCTGGAAGGCAAGGGCAGCAGGTTAGAACAGCACGGACAACCCTCTCTGGCTGGCTGGCTGCTGTCGGTCAGACCAAGGGAGCAAAGGGCCCCAAACCCTACCACCTGGTTTGCTCAAAAACTGACAAGAGGACTGTAGACAAAGCTGCCAGGCTCCTAAAAGGGGCTCCCCGACCTTGGAGGGAGAAGAATGCGAAATAAGTGAACAGGCCTGGGTAACGATTCCTAAAACTTGTCAAAGGGACAGACCACAGGTGAGGGGAAAGAGCGTGGCACTGACCTCACACTGATTAATGATTAGCTCTTTGACAAGCTCCTTAACCTAAGTAAGATTTCCTTTGTTCTCGTGCTGACTGAGGATAATAAAACTTCTCTCACAAATCTACTGGGAGGTCTAGAGAAAGACGATATAGCACCCAGGACCCCCAGGCGCTCAACAAGCAGTCACCATGCCATGACTACATCAAAAAGGCCCCAAGTTAGGACTCTGCCCCTCTTTGTAGACGACGGAGGATGACAACAGCCAGGCACAAACTCAAGTTCAGATAAAGTTATGTTCTGGAGCAGTACCCACAAGGTTGTAAAAAATGGCGCAATACTTTCCACAGTGACTCCTGGCTATTAAATATACAATATGCACGCATTCACCCCTGAGCCATTATCCATGACAACACAGTTTATAACAAAGAAAACATTTTGAAAAATTAAAAGACCGGAAGTTCCTCTCCCTGTTCTTTTCTGTTGCCAAGAAAGTGATGTCCGGGAGCAGCAGCTTTGGTGCTGCAGCTGCACCTCTTCTTGGACTATCCCTGACACCCCTGCGCCTCCCCCAGCTTTGGCCAGAGGTGGACCTGAAGGGTAGTAAAAGGACTGCCAGTCTTCCTACCTGGCCAGCTCTCCCTGCTTCCAATTCTCTCTCCAAACACGCACAGGTTTGTGGGTAGACAGCTGACCTTCAAGTGGGTTCTAAGAGGCGACTGTGCACTGGTAGGATACTGTTCTTTGTGATTCAGTGACCCTTGTGGCCTCAGTTTTGACCAGAATTAGGACACTCATTTGTAGCACATTTTCTGCTCTACTTGTTACTGTGGTGAACAATGGACAAGTCAATCACCCTTTCTTGGCTAGCCTGGACTGCAATAACCAGTGTTTCAATTGATAAGCACCTCAACAGCTAAACACATTTTCACATTTAGACCTCCCAATCAGCCTGTAGGTACGAATGATTACCCTCATTTTATAGATTGTTTCCTACACACAAAGGACTCTCAGAAGTGAAAAGCTCAAGATCACACACAAATCAAGCAGAGGAGCAGGCCCCAAGCCTGGGCCTCAAGGCTCCTGTGCTGGTTCCACGGCTATGACTCTACTCAGTGGGAATCAACATGGTAGATGATTCTACACATCCAAGGAATATGACAGTCCTCACTGAAGGTCGTGTTGCTATTAAGATTATATCTCAGGAAGCCTGAGGCCATCAACTCATCTAACAGGATAGACACTTTATTTCATTCATTCATTTTGCATTTATTTGCGTGCCTACCTAGTTCCAAGCCCTGGGGACAGGAAAATACATACCCACTCTGTCCCCAAGGAGTGCCTGGCCTCCCATGATCCTCTCACCTAGACCCCAAGGTAGACAGTCATCTCAGTAAGGCAACAGGAGAGGCTACGACACACAGAAACTTAGGAAACTTAGAAACTCCTTCCCTTTGGTGGTACCTGCTGTCATTTTCTCATCTTGCCTGCGTCTCTCTGTAGACAAGGACTTCAGAGAATCCTGTGGGACTTAGAATTAGGAACTTGTGCTCTTCAATAAAAGCAAGACCATGACGACTGAGTGCCAGCGCTTCAGGTTGGTCTGAGCACACGACGTGCTTACAGGGCACGCTGTGATCATCAGCAAAAGCGCTGCTCACAGGTATCTCACACAGATGTACTCTATGTGACGGCCATTTCTCAGGCAGGCTCGTCACTCCAGCCTTCTGGGCTGAGCAGACACTGGAATGCATGCATGCACCTCACGTACAGGGGAGGAAAGACTGTAGGCCCCAAAGTAGCATCCACATCACTAAAGACCAAAGAACAACTGGGATCCCAATGGGGCCCTAATGACACAGTCTATTAATCACGTGCACTATAAAGAATTCATCAAGAGAAAACTTCTGTTCTGAAAGAAAGAGAAGTACCAACTCTGTACATACTTTGACATATTTTCCATGTAGAAGATAAGGAGCCTGGAAGTCGTGCTGGCAGTTGGAGTAGGCCATCCCCAGTCCCATGCCAGAACCGAAGGCTAACGGCCACATTCTTCCTGTGGGCAAGGAGGGGGAGTCCCAACAGGGCATCATTAAGAGAACACATGGCTTCTTCTCTGAGGTACACACATTTGCTCCGGGTTCAATAAATATTCCACATGCACCAAATGGATGACAATGAGAAGGATAAATTAGTAAACTCAGTCAAATATTTATTATAAAGTATCTATGGTGTCAAGTGGAGGAATTAATAAATGATACAATGTGAAAAAAGCAGTCATAGTTGAACTTCCCTGCAGTTCTCTATCAACCTCTTTATTTGCTTACTTAACCTCATCAGAAATACCATTGGTAAATCAATTTAAAAAAAAAATAATACTCTCTATGAGGAGGTGATTGAATTTTAAAAATATTTAAGATTTCACCAATATTTGCATATTTAGATTTATAGGAAGTCATGAGGTACTTAAGTCTATACTGTAAGTGATTACCTCATATCAGCACTGTGTTAAGCATGATTCTCTAGTTTATATTCCCCTCAAAGTAACCTCTTTGGCTACTATTCAATATTCAAACCTCAGAAGTTCTTCCACAGAATGAAAGAAATATCGCTTGCATGTTGCTTAGGAGAGTTTTTGGCCAAAAAGGAAAAAAAGTGCATTTCTGGCCCACTTGTTTTTATTACCAGCAGGACTCTCATTTTCGAGTCTCCTTGAGAATTATAATTAATTAGAAGTATTATTTGAGCATGCAGATTTGGCCAAATGACTCACTGGCAGTAAGCACAAGTTTTCAAAATGATATCATATTTAAGATATCAAGCATCCTGACTTAATGCCCAGAGGGGATTCTAGAGACGCCCAACCCACTCTGACCTCCTGTGAGTGCACATTCTTCGTCTCGCTCATTTCAGAGTGGCCAACCTAAGCCCCAGATGAACGGGTTGGCAGCCATGTGTGTATGTGCCTTCCAGAAGTGTTCCTGCCAGGTGTATGCAAACTCTTCTAGGACATTATGGTGTAAGGTAATGAGAGTCACACTTACTTTTAAAGAAGGTAAGGGAGAAAATAAGTCCTAATCCAAATCCAGTACCTACAAAAAAGGGGGAAAAACATGTTAAACCTTGTAACAGTAACTAGACAAAAATGAAATGTTTTGTGAATGTGAACATGTATAAAACAAGATTACTTTCACATAAATTGGTACACAGTTGATTTTCTCATGTCTAGCCTTTCCTATTGTCAGAGGCCTAAGGGATGCCTTTAGTCCCCAAGCTCACAACAGGGGATAAAAACCTCATTCCCATTCTGTCTAGACAAGTCCTGGGGGTGGGGAGCAAGGCCAGAGACAGTTGTGGAGAAACTCTGTGTACCACTTGCAAACAGCCTCCAGGATCCTGGGCTCTGCTGCCCTATTCCAAGGGGGCGCCACATCAAAAGAGATGTCACATGACTGTGTAGTGGCTACTTTTTAAGGAAGATGGAATGGAGTGATCCATAACAATTCCCAAAATCAAACACAAGGTAGAATGCCCAGACAGAGTGAATATACCACTCCAAAAGGCCCAAATATGGAGATTGGGCCTCCCCGGTGGTGCGGGGGTTAAAGTCTCAGTGCTATCAAGCTATCCCCCCAAATGTGGAAATTAAATCCCTCCCCTTATTTTACTCACAGAACATTTTTAACCATCATCTTTCAAAATAAAAGAAATTAACACAAAATAAAACACAAGCCTGTTTTAATTGTCAGGAAGAAAAAAATTAAATAACTAATCTAAAATTAAATTTCACAGACATCTAAGCTTGGAAAACGGAAGGTCCTGTTCTTATACACCAAATCCACACTTTCACTGGTATGTCTCAAACCTTGGTCATTCCAGTGCTACCATCACAATTGTTGCAAAATTCACACACCACCTGCACAATTATTTTATCGTTTTTAAAAAAAAGTCAACATGAGGTCTAATTAAGCCTTATTTTTTTAATTTTTTAAAACATTTGTGCTTTATTCATTTATTTGTTCATTTATTTTTAATTTATACAAGCACTGGGTACAGTCAGAAGCGTGGGAGGGTGAGAGAATTCACCAGAGCCAGAGCAGGGAGTAGAACAGGCAGAAGGACCGAAGTACACTGCTGAGGGGAGCAGCGGGCGGCAGGAGAGGTCTGCGCGCCATGTGGGACCCTCCTCTGGTGGCCGGGGAGCAGCCGCGGATCGAACCGGCGCTGCAGAGGCTTAAATAACATTGGTATAATCATACTTTGAGTGCTATTTTTCATAAAGTATTAAAACCAATATAGAGCCAGTAAAATAAAAATATTTGTGGTACCACTTCGGACCGGGGGGAATGCCACCTTGCTTACTATAGTGATACATGTCCTAACCCTTGAGATAACCTCAATTGTCCATTATCAAAAAAGTTAAAGTTACACATGCTAAGGCAAGAGTCGAAATCTGGTGTTTTCATTTTTTTAAAAGACTTGACAGACAGCCTTTCATAGCATTTGATGTTCTTGACTAAGTATCTCCCTCACGGTTCAGCAGAGCCCTTGACTAACCTCTTCATACCTAACTACAAAGTCCCACTTGCCTTAAGGTTTTCAAATACGTGCTGTTGAAATTCCAAAGGCTTCTTTTCTGTCTAACCGTGATTTCAGGCTAATGTATGAAAATTCAAACTGCTCCTCAGGCTAACCAATGTGATCTTTCTGCTACAAACACAGAGAACGTCATCATAGGCAAGCTAATCCGCATCTTTTTTGATCCAAGTAATTCTTTTTGCACTTCTGTGACAATCCAGTTGAAGCTGGCCTGAAGAGCATTTATGCTATTTATTCAGAATGATTTCTGGTAATCCTCTCCTTTCACATCTACTGTGTGTTTCTTTCCTATGATTGAGCCCTACACATGAAATGGAATTAAAAATCATTACTTTGCCCTTCCCAACAGACCCTTGTATTAGGTCCTGTTTTGGTGCCCCGATTTAAAATCAGTCATGTCATCCCAATTTCCATATAGCATTTGTTAAAAATGATGGAAAACTAGCCAAGTTACAGATCACAAAGAAACTAACATTTGAGTGTTTTCTATAACAACACATTCCCCTGCTCCCCACACCCACCCACCAATTCTCATTTAAACCAAAAAACCAGCTGGTAGGGCATTATCCCCCATTTTTCAGATGCAGAACTTGTTTAAGGTTACTCTGTTTAGTCAGCAGTAGGGCAGTGAACTGGGCCCCGATCTGCCAGACTCCAAAGCCACTATCCCTCTTATGTCCTGACAGTGGATTCCCCTACAGTTTAAACCACTCAACAATCCCTACCTCCCCCCAAGGGAAATTGGAGTGTCAAGATTTCTGCTGCCAGTGAAGTAAGATGTAGCCAAAAACTAAACAGTGCTTCCCATGCCCAGACTGCCTGGCAACGAGGGTAACAAGTCTCCACAAGGCCAAGAGAACTGGTTCAGATTCATTCCCGGGCTACTCCTACTGCACATGTCAAAGACACACGTCTTCCTGGTCAGCATGATTCCAGAACTTCAGAGAAATGGAAGGTATCACGACTGATACTCCTTGGCACGATTTTACTGCTGCCTGGCTTAGGAAATGGCACAGGGTTCATTCTCAAGGTCACTGGCCTCACCCCCTTGCAGCTGGAAGATGAGTAAGACAGTAAATTGGTACTAGAAAATGAGGTAAAGGATTTGGACTGGCTTACCGATTTCAAACCAGGCAATGGGATGGGGAGGTGGGCCAGTAAAAACATAATGGCTTACAATCAGGGCTTTTGGTCTTCTCCATCTGGAAGGCAATTTTTTGGCAATCAAATCAAAAGCCCAAAAGGAAAATATTTCAGCATTTTTCTTGTCCCTCTGACTCCATGCCTGTCTCTCTTATTTCCCCCCAAGGAATGAAAGTTCTCTGATGTTCAACTTTTCCTAGTAGTAGACCAAGAATGATGCTAAGGCCCCTTGCTACCAGTATCGCTCAGCCACAAAGACGAGGAATGCCTCAGAACTAAGGAATAGAGTAGAAAATCTTTCACCTCTAGATTTGAAGTTCAGGTATAAAGCCAACCACCCAGTTTTGCTTCAATTAAAGTCATTTATCAGGCAAGAAAGAAATTTTAAGAAAAACAGAAAAAGCTGGGCCTACAAGCATACACATGCGGTCAGAACCACTGCTCAGACTAGCCCCCAGCGGCATTACCCAGGAATATGTTCTGTGACCCCAGCAATCACTGGGCAACACCTTCGATTCTTAAAAAGAGTTTTTTTTTTTTCTCTGTTCCCATGTTTGAAGACCCAAAATAACAAGACTATTTTCTAAAAAAAACCAAAAAAACAAAAACTCACAGAAAATGATATGTAAATGCCAACGTTTTACTTAAAGTTAGCTATCTCAGTTATTTAAGAGATAAACAATGGTGGAACTGCTGATGAGTTTTACAGGTTCAAGTTCTCACATGCTCAATTTTCTTTTAAAAGGCAACATGTTGCTTCAAAGAAACTCCCACCTGATCCAGGGACACCAACTCTGCAGCTGTTTCCACTAAAGATTGGCACCTCTAGGCTGGGTTTCAACTTCATAACAATAAAACATGAAAGGTTTGTCTTACAATAAAAACAAACCAGCATGGAAAAGAGAAGAGTTTTCTCTACCTTTGGCCACTTCTTTTTGTTGTTGCATGACAAGCGCTCTTTGAGGGAAATAGCCAAAGGAAAAAGTACAAAGCATTTTTCACCTACCCTGGAAGCAAATATTTAACTATGAATGAAGTTTATATAACTTTGCCTCCCCCTCCTGACCCTCATCAAGCCTGTTCTTTGGGTCCACACACTCTGAAATGACAAATAACCAAAGTAAAGACATGCCTGATGATGTAGAAGTACACATCTTCCTCCTAGCAAAGTGCAGTTAAGAGTCGGAAGGAGGGAGGCAAGGCAAAAACAAATAAACAAAAAACACACCCCACACACGAAAGAGAAGCCTTATGGAATTGACATTAGGCAAGCCTCCGGTGCTCTGCAACCATTTCTCCTGGAGAGGAAAAAGAATTGGCACAAATTCTTTCAAACAGAAATTACTCCAAACCAATCTAACCTGCACTTTAATGCATGCTCAGTGCCCACATTTTTAGGAAGAAGCAATTCTTGAACAGTTCATCTGATACCGTTTTAATAACAAAAACAACAAATAATTCCCTCCCACTAACTACATATAAAATATTTGTCTCATGCTCAAGTGAATTTCGTAACATATTTAAAAGAATAACAACCTTAAGCCACAATTCTTATGGGGGGGTGGGGAGCAGCACATGTTGAACACCTATAACTGTGACATATGGACAGTTTCTAGTCAATGCAACTTCATTTAGAAAAATCTTTGCTTTCACCATGCCACAGACAATAAAGCTTTAATTCTCTGCAAGTAATTAGGAAAAAAACATAATCAGCAAGAATTAACAAGTAGGCTACATAATCTGACTGCAGTCTTGAGGTAGACATGTACTTTGGGTATTAGCCGCTAAACAGAACAAGTTGGAGCAATACATGTGCCTAATGGACTGCCAATGGACTTTCAGTTAAGGAGTAAGAGCTCACTGTTTGGCTAGGTACAGGGAAAAAATCCACAAAATTCACTTAGAAAACATTTCTATGAAATACTATAGCGGAAGGAGAGATCGAAGAGTCACTTTATCAGTAACAGTTATTAAAATCTCACTCCAGCTTACATTTAAAATTTTAAATGAGGTTCCAAAATTCATAAGCTTAAGGTATAATTCTCCATGTTAAATTCTTTTTTTTTTTAAAGATTTATTTATACAAGAACAGGGGTATAGGCCAGGTGTGCGGGAGGGTTAGAGGATTCACCAGAGACAGAGTGGGGAACAGAACAGGCAGACTGATGCAATACACTGCTGAGGGGAGCAGCGGGCGAGACAGGAGAGGTCAGCCACGCCGGCTGGCCGGGATCAAACCGGTGCTGCAGAGGCTGCAGACAGCTTCACAGCATGGCGCTCAACTGCCTGCACCACCAGGGAAGGCCCTCCACATTAAATTCTTATCTGCATCCAAACTTTAAGTTGCAAA